CCGCCAACTTCAGAATATCTACGTCATAAAAAGCTACTACTGGTCAACCCATTTTCATAAATAACTAATACCGCACTTCACCCGGATCCTCACTGAGCATACTGAAAACCAAAGGATCGACCTCCCTCGGCATCGCCTCTGAAACGGAAACTTTCGACCCGATAATAAGAAGACCCGCGTACTCATAATAGTAAGAGTAGTAATATCGAGAGCCACTCGAGTGCCTGTGGTCAGCTTGGCCGCATCCAATCGCTGCTTGCAGGTCACCACATATCGAGGACCGCTAGATGCCTTTACAATGAATCTAGGTTAACAACACTGCCTCTACCAACTATCTCTCGTTAGTTGGGAGAGAGATGGTATTGGTCGCTTTCTCAAAGCAAAACCCCGTCATCAAATGTGAGGGAAGAGCTCATAAAACTACACTTTAAAGCCAACGGGTGGTATCCAGATCAGTTCACCTTACCCTAGTATAAAAATATGAGATGTACCCAACTACCTTCTTATCCCTACTACTACCTCTCCTCATCTAGCTGCTTTAGAACCTCGCCGACTATCTGTCCGACACTCTGGAGAGCCTTCAAATGGTCCTCCGACGTCTCGAAGTCATTTTCAACTTCCTTGATTTGCTCCCGAACTGAATGGTCTCTGCCTATACCTCTTCCTTACTACCCCTTATTACGTTTTTTGCATCTGGCCTCGCGCTCTCTATGCTCCTTTACTTTACCAATATAACTATTAATGGCCTGCTCTCGAGTGTTCGATGTCGTGGCTGCAGCAGCAGCACTCATAATGATAAAATAATACACACTGTCACTCAGTTCATACCGTAAATGCCTCAACTCAACCGGAATTGAACTATCCGAGCCTTTGGCAGCCGAATAGTAGACAGCATTTACTATGCATCCAAATTCCTCATGTGGGAGACCATCGAAGTGAAGCCGCGGGCTGCCATCTTAACTTAGGCGTTTCAAAAGACATGCTACCGACCCGTTGACAAATTGTTTTCGATTTCTAAAGCTATCCCGTTACGGTGCGGCCAAGAAACAAGCCTAGTCGCGAGAAATCGCTTCTTACCACACCTTCGAGGAATAACATCGACAGGAAGAATACTTTTCGCGGTAGAATGGTGACCACTGACCCATCACGTTTTTTGAGAAAATCGCAGTATTTTTCGCGGTGGTATCGCTACTTGGTATGCTGAATTGCTGGAGACATCAGAGAGATGATAAAAACGAGGCCGAGGGGGTCTTGCCTTGTGGACAGGTTCCTCTGTGGATAGTGGTAAGTGTGAGAGAGCATCAAACACCTCAACAACCTTGCTGATACAACTCCAGATGTAGCTGACATGATGTAATGGGCAAATAGTGAGTGCTCATACCAAAACATGCTGGCATCTCTGCAATATTGGCATATCTCTACGCATTCACGGAGTGACATGACACTACCAAACTCATATGTGGATACTACTACGCAGTTATAAGTGGTGTAGAAGCGAACTCGTTTCAGATCTTTTGATTTCCTTCTCTAACGCGTGTGTACATACAGTTACACTAGGGCAACCCAACGCCCTGGAGGTCCTCCGTACGACGAAGATAATATGCTTCGACTGTGCTGTCCCATCGTGGCAGCGCGACAAAGATCTCGCTCGCCTCGTATTCTATTGTTGAACTATAATATTATTATTCTCGCTCGGATGCATCTATCTAACGGTTTTGGATACTAGAAACGGTTAGATCCCGTCTCTGGTTTTCTGTAAGCTAGTAGCTAGTAAGCTAGGAAGTTAGTATTCTAGTTGGTAATTGTTAGACTGGACTGAGTCCAGTGACTGATTGTGTGATCTGCTACCTCATCCTAACTCTAGTTCTACTTGAGTTAACCAGTCCTCACTAGTATCGCATCGTAATCTCTATTGCCTCACCTGATCGTGTTACAAGCTACACGGGATGTTACTTAGATCTGGAATGAAATTGTCTAACCGTGATCGCTGTGCATTTCCTCATGATTCAACAGGTTTAACTCCCTCTACACCTCCGTCTAACGACGCGACTGAACCACCAAGAAGTACATCTACTTCAAGACCACTACTGATTTTTTCTAGTTCTACTCTAAGTCGTCCCGTACATTCTACCGGGATATCTTTCCGAGCCCCTATGCGCACTAGATCAACGTCTATGCCCGATCTCGCAACGCTGATATCAAGAA